ACATACCTACACGAACACGTACAACACCCCATAATGCCCATCGCCATCCCAAAGACGCCAAAGAATGGCATCACGAAATTCACAAACTGCCGTCTCGTAAAGGGCGACGCTCTCGTATCAGAAGACATCTGGGTCAGCTCCGTCACGGGCAAGATCATCCACAGCCAGGCCGCCTTCTTCGACGACCTCTGCCTCCCGGATGAGACCATCAACTTGGGCGGCCGCATCGTGTCGGCCGGCATGATTGACTGCCAGCTCAACGGCGCCTTCGGCTTCAACTTTTCCACGCTGCTCGAGGACATGACGCAATACGGCAAAAAGGTCCGGGAGTTGAACAGGAAACTCGTGTCTACGGGCGTTACGTCCTACGTTCCGACACTCACTAGCCAAAAGCCAGAGCTCTATCAAGGGGTGAGTGAGACATCATCTACATGATAATTGACGTGGATGCTAAGTGCTTTAAATATGCAGGCCTTGCCTTATCTTGGAGCATCAGGAGGCTTACAAGCAGCCCACGACGGAGCCGAATCGCTCGGCGCGCACGTAGAGGGCCCGTTCCTGAACCCCACCAAGAACGGCATTCACAACGTCGACGTCCTGCAGCAGGCAGAGACCTTTGACGACCTGGTCCGATGCTACGGCGCCGACAACATCGAGCCCAGCGCGGCCAACGGCGGCGTCATTCCGATTAAGATGATCACGGCGGCGCCGGAGCGGGGCAACATGACCAAGATTATCCCTGAGCTGCGGGAACGGGGCATCATCTACTCCATCGGCCACTCGGAGGCGACGTACGAGGACGCGTCGGCCGCCGTGGCAGCGGGTGCGACGATGATTACGCACTTGTTCAACGCCATGCGCCCCCTTCACCACCGCAACCCGGGCGTATTTGGGGTGCTGGGGCTGGCGGAGAGCTTGGCGCGGCCGTATTTTGGTATCATCTCTGACGGTATCCATCTTCATCCGACGACGATCAAGATTGCGTTCAATGCGCATCCTGATGGATTTATTTTGGTGACGGACGCTATGCATATGATGGGCCTTGCCGATGGGTCGTATCAGTGGGTCAATGGACAAGATGTGAATAACATCATCAAGGTTGGCTCTACGCTGTTGCTGGAGGGCACCGATACGATTGCTGGAAGGTGAGAGAGACACATCAATGGTTCGAGGCGACGTCTTTGACAGATACGGAACTAACAGCTCGATAGTGCCGTCACACTGATGGAATGCGTCAACAACTTCCTTCGGTGGTCTGGTACAGGGATTCCCAAGGCATTGAAGGCCGTCACGGCAACGCCCGCGGCGATGCTCGGTCTTCAAGGCGTCAAGGGGTCATTGGAAGACGGGGCGGATGCCGACTTGGTTATCTTCTCTGAAGAGACCAGAGAGGGCGCCACGCAGTTGGTGGTAGACGAGGTTTGGAAGTCTGGGGCGTTGGTGTCGAGCAGAAAGGACGATCAATCGCCGATTACGCCATAGAATGACGAATTGTAGGGAAATACACGAGTCAAAAATCTGGAGATACGTACGAAGACAGGGAAGAAAGATGGCAAGAGAAGAGAGAAGGACAGGGTCGAGCCCTACAATAGACTGTATACTCATAGAACTGTCATCCGAACTTGAGGGTGTAAGTGGATGCGCAGATAAAGTTTCCAAGATGGCTGGGGATGGTTACTGGTAACACCAAGTGCCTTAGTAGAGGGGGCTTCGCTTAGTCCTCGCCAGAGTTTGGTTGATTGTGTGCTAGAGGATGGTTGCACAACACCCAAGTGAATTAGGTAGACGCCGATGTTCGGCCATAAATTACAAGATTTCTTAATGATGATAAACGAGGTTGATTGTAGGTTGATGAGTGAGAGAAAGAGTAAAGTGCTTCTGTACAGTGACAAGAACTGTGTTGCGGGAACCATCGGCCCATTGAATTACTCGCTTACGGTACTGTACAGAGTGCGTAACAGCCCGCAGAGGCATCCTTGAAGCTCCCCGCATCTTGGTGCCGTGACTTTAATTCCCTGCCTCCACAGTGCGATAATAGCCAGCCAATGACGGTACACGGGTGTTCTGATAGGGGTGGACACTGCGCAGGTGCTCTCCTTCCCTCTTTCTCGCGCGCTTCGACTCCACGCCTTCTCTCTCTCCAGAAGCCGAAGCCTTGGAGAGAGCCCTCCGCTTTTGTATTTCCCATTGACACTCGTTAATGTAGGCCACCAGCGCCAACCACCCCCCCGTCCCTTGACTTGTTTGTCTTTGTCCCAGTGGTCGCGGGCAATCCTTTTGCTCGAATCGACAGAGCTCTTTTTTCTAGAAACTCTCCATCCGGCAGTACTCGACACTACCTTAGACCAGGGCAGCGAAACCCCCAGACAACCTCCCCCACCCAGCCAGGCGTACGTAGCTGCGCGCATCGTCGGCACGGCGCTCGCTACACAAGTCCTACTACCATGCTATGGCTGCGTTCCATTCATTGTCGTCCGGCGCGACGCCCGGCGACGGCATGAGCCTCAATAGCGCCGTGGTCGATGGCATAGACTCTTCCATTTTTGACGATTCACTGCTGTAAGTGCTCTTCCCGTCCTCATTCGGCACTTGGCGAGGCTGGTAAGACGCAGCGAAGTCAGCTCCTCCCGTCTCGCCGGCACCCGATCGCAACCATGAGACGAAAGTCAATTTGGCTAACACACGTCTCGCCTCCTCTCCTGCAGAGATACTGTCAATGGCACTTTCCCCACGTTACCCTTCACGCCCACCTACGGCTTCGAAGACTTCTCCGCCACAGGCTTCGAAGACCCCTTTGCATACTCAAATCGCCAATACGAAGCACCACCCGCTCCCGAAGACTTCAACCAAGACTCGCCCACGCAGGAGCTAGATAATAAGTTGCTCGGCTTTTCGGCCCCGACGCTGAAGGCGACGCTCTTGGACGGTACGGGCCAACATGTAGAACCCAGCATGACGGCCGAGCTGTACGGCATGTTCTTCGTCGCCGAGGACGTCTTTGGCGCCGAGAACAGCGGCCGGCCCCTCGAGCTGACGTGCTACCGGCGAAACCTGTGGCAGTGCTCTGGCCAGGTAACCATACCGCGACACATTACCCACGTGGTGGACGAGCAGGGCCGACAGATGCCCATATTCGAGCTGTCTGCCTCCATAACCGCCATCGAGTCCATCGAGGGCAAGGTCACAGAAATCATATCAATACCCTGGAAGAGCGCGCATCCCATAGGCGCCGAAGAACCCAAGTCCAACGGCGGACCGCCCAACATTGTCTTGGACCTGGCCAACGGGCAAGAGGTGGACGCAAACCGGATTTCCCTGCCGTTATCGTGGAAGAGGCTACAGTTCAAGCACGCAACGGCGAATAACGGACGGAGGAAGGGCCTTCAGCAACACTACATTGTGGAAATCAGCTTGGTCGGCAAGCTACAGTCGGGCGACTACATCAAGATTGCCGAAACCCACTCCGGCCCCGTCATCGTCAGAGGCCGCAGCCCGAGGAATTTCGACAGCCGGAAGGACATTCCCCTGACAGGTGGAGATAAGAAGGTTGGCGGGAGGAGCAACAGCGACGCTACCGCTGCGACGCCTCAGAAGGAGAATGGCGGCAACAGTGGCATTCCTACGCCGATACCCAAATATCAAAATGTTGGAAACGTCCAACAACCAGCAGACTGGGCGCCGCCGCAACTATATCGTGAGTCGAGCGGGGGTCAGCCGCCAGCGAAGAAGCTCGCCATGTCACCGGGTATCAACAGACCACCCATACCGGCATGGTCTACAGAACCCTCGAGAAGCCTGGGCAGGGCATCGGCATCCATCTCGGCTCCGCGCGGTGCCATTTCCGGCCCGATCAACCTATCGCTTTCAGAAGATGAGAGGAGTCCGAATAGGTCAAATTCGGACGTGCAGAGCCCGCAGTTCACCAAATCGACGGCGGCTGCGGGCCACAACCCGAGCCAGAGTCCCAAGGAAGAGGACGATCTACTATACGAATACTTTCCGCTTAGCGTCGACGACTGGTAAGGAACTTTCGAGTTCAGTAGCACTGCACGTGCTAACATGTCAAACAGGATGCCGCCAGTCGAGGCAATCTATCGCCCCCACGTAGTCCACCACACCATTGTACCGCCGGAAATCAAGGCACAGCAGCTCCGGAGCAAGGCAAAGAGATACTTTACCGCCGAATCGTAGGGTTTTATATATGGGAGCATATCTGATACGAATTGACGAAAGCCGCATTTGTGTTCGTTCTTTTTGTTTTTACCCATTTCTCTGTTTGGTTTCCTCCATTTTTGGTTGTGTATTATACGGTAATTATTACATGGAACTGCCATTCTACCGGGATGGCAGAGAATGGTTGGGGAGAGGGGCGGGCGGTTAAATGGCAAATTAGGTCTGATGCGGTTATACCCGAGTTGTAGGTGACAGAGACTCAAATACAGAACGATGATTATAGTCGGTCCAGCTTCTTTTCTGAAGGTCGAGTTTCCGTTCGTCGTATTGCGTGCAATACAGTACTTAACACATCACAACTCCCAAGGATGCTGTACAGTACGATACTGTATGAAAGTTTCTCGAAATATTTTTTCTTTCAACGTCAATTCTTCAAGTTTCTGAGTCCAACAAGAAGACGAGCCCTGCTCTTTCTCAGATCCCTAATGCACCATCCAAGTGGACGTCAACCCCCATCTCAGGAGTTGTTTACTTCCTTATACGAAAGTTTCCTCTTTCCATACTACCGAAGTCATAAATCTAAGTCTCATGAAGTGTTATATCTTTTTTTCCTTCCCTTTATTTGGCCGTGGTCTACTATGCTACATTCTGTTTAGGCCTTCTTCATACTCCAAAAAAAAATCAAAAAAATCTTCTCCTTTCCTACCGCAATGCGTCTTCAAATGGCATCTAGCGAGTGTAAAAAGATATCAATATGCCTACAAAAATCTCAGATTGAATAGAAAAGAAAAGAAAGACGAAAGAAGAAAAGCTGATCTCCGTCTATCTCAAGCACCAACGGCATTAACCCTAGACATCATCTGCTGCTCCGGATTCGGCGTCAGCCGCCTCGCGAGCGCAGGCTCAGGGATCCTCGACGCCATACGATCAGGAACCAGCTCCGGCGTAGCAGACCTACTGATCGAGGTCGTCTGCTGCTTCTCCGGGTTCGGCGTCAACCGCCCCGTAACCGCAGCAGGGACCCCCGGAATCCGCTCCGCCATCCGGTCCGTCACCAAATCGGGCGTCACGGCGCGGAGCTGCTGCTCCGAGGGGGTCTTTGTGCGGGAGGCCATGCTCTCGAAGACGAGCTCGATGTCCGGGGACGTGGAACGCGAGCGGACTGGGTACTCCGTCGCCGGGGAGGCGCGGAGCAGGCGCGAGGTTGTGGGCTGCGGGTGGAGGATGGTGGGCGTGTCGACCTCGTCGATGCGGGTTATTGGGATCGGGGGAGGGGATGGGCCGGTGCGGATTTTGGAGGGGAGGATTTGTTCGAAGCCTTGTTCGCGGGCTACTTTTTCGATGGACTTGAAGTACTGGGATATTGTGTTAGCCATCCAGATTTCCCTCTTTGGTTTCCTCGGAGTCTTACCTTGACAGTTTTGACTTGCAGCTCGAGCGTCGCATCCTCATCTACGACTATCATGGGGTGAGGGTGCAGCTGCAGACTCGACAGCGTCCACATGTGGTTCACGCCCTGCTCGATACACCTCTGCAGCGCAAGCGCCTTCTTCGCGCCCAAGATAATCGCCACGACCTCGCGCGCCTCAAGCACGGTCTGGACGCCGACGGTGAGGGCTAGGCGCGGGACCTGGTCGACGTCGTTGCCGAAGAAGCGCGAGTTGGCGAGGATGGTGTCGTAGGCGAGCGTCTTAACGCGGGTGCGGGAGGCGAGGGAGGAACCCGGTTCGTTGAAGGCGATGTGGCCGTCCTCGCCGATGCCCGCGAGGAAGAGATCAATGCCACCGACGGCCTTGATTTTGGACTCGTAGGCGACGCACTCTGCTTCAAGGTTTGGGTTTTGGCCGTTGAGAATGTTTACGTTTTGGGGGTGGATGTTTACGTGGGAGAAGAGGTGCTTCCACATGAAGGAGTGGTATGATTCTGGGTGGTCGCGGGGGATGCCGACGTATTCGTCCTGGGGTTGTGTTAGATGAGGCCCATGGAGGTGACATTGTTGTTATGAGATGTCCACGTACCATGTTGAAGGTGATGACATTTTCAAAAGAGATCTATGAGTACACATATTGTTAGTGACCAAGACGCTTGATGATGATGTTAGTTGAGAGACGCGGTCCTACCTCTCCAGCCTTGTACTTCTGAACAAGGATCTTGTACACACCGAGGGGACTGCTTCCCGTGGGCAAGCCAAGGACGAAGGGATGCGCCGGGGTAGGGTTGAAGTGCTTGATGCGGTCAACGACGTAGTTGGCTACGTAGGCGCTGGCGGCCTCGGCATCGTCGCGGATAATCAGCCTCATCGTGGGGGTGGAAGTGTTTATACGGATATGGAAAGGTACAACGATACGGTATGATACGAGGAGGTATAAGGTATAGGGCAGAGATGGATACAAGGGCAAGATGGTAGTAGGACACTCTCGGGTATCTTCAGCTTCCGTATTGTGAGAACAGAGAGGAAAGATAGATACGAAGGGGGGGCAAGATGAAAGGTGCCTCTGCTTATGAGGGAGCAATTACACCCAGGTGGACAGACCAAAAAGTCTTTGCGGTTCGCCCACGCCCCTCCTTCGAGGGGGTTCTCCCCTCCCCGGGGCCCGTCTCGTCGCAAGAAGCCTGACATCACAGACTTTTGCGGCAACAAGCCCCAAAGTATGCTGATGATTTTCCCACCTCAACCCCGTTTGTGTGGTGGAGGGGGATGGAACGTCACTGCTATCGGCCATGTTTGAGGAACAGAGTCCCACCACCAACCGGGCCGGCGGGGAGGGAACAAATTGTAGTGTACATTACATTATCAACGTTGCCCGTGACAGGTTTTTTTTTATCGGCCGAGTTTCTCTTTCCAAAAGGATTGGATGTCGAAGCGCTCTCGACTCATGAACAGCGGAGATGGTGTACCAACAGGTCATGGTTTTGACGTGGTCATCAGCGCGGTTCTACGAATGAGAATTAGGCTTATGAGGAGTCTGGTGATGGGCAGTACCTTTTGTGATCGTCTTGTTGCAGGCAGGCCGTATTTTCTCAGATAGCATATCGTCATTCACGATTTAGACTCGAGTTGAGCCGAGCTTCCCCGGGTTTGCCGGGCCAGGGTCGGGCATGTTCCTGTTTTCCCAGGCGGGGCGATGGTGGTGTTAAAGGAGCCATGTGGTCGGGTTCAATGACTCCCCAGCACCTAGCATGGGGAGGGGCCCAAGCTTGGAATAGCTGCTTTCTGAAGCTTCTACTGTGTGGATGTTTCGATACCGGCGCGCACGGGGTGGCGATGGCGGTCGCTTGTCGTTGACACGGCCGGCGTCCGTGAACTCGGGTCTCCCCTCCTTGGCTCTTTGGGGGCCCTGGACTTTCTGCGACCCAGCGGCTGACGATTGATTGCATGTCACTGCATGCCAGCAGGGGTGGACGGATGGCCTAGTGTACGTCTGGAGGATGCTGTGCTTTGCATGCAACTGATACGTGGGGACTGAAGCGAGCGATCTAACGTAACGGGCATGGTTGCCGCCGGCCGGCTACTTTAGTGTAGACTGCTCATGAAACATAAGGTATAGAAGGATGAATACATAATTGATGGGGACCGCTCGTACGGTATCGTGGATGGTTCGAGCTTGAAAGGTCAACGGCGGCTCAGTCGTTGGTCAATTATGTACCGGATTGCTATGAGACGCGGTGCCGCGGTGGAGGCCTCGGCATTGATGATGAGAAGGATTGGTCCATTGGATGAGACAAGAGGCCGGTTGAGATTGATAGAGGCAACCATGCAGGGCCGGTAGAGGAGAACGTGTCACTGCAACGGCGCGGCTGGTATCGTCAAAGATGGAAGCTTGATGGTAAGGTTGTGTATGGAGTACCCAGCATGGAGTCGTGGAGTGTTGGAGGTGTTGGTTGTTGCATGTAACTTTGGTAGTGGATCTTGACAATTTGGACAAGGTGAGAGAGTGGGGGGATCGACCCTTCCTTGGGCTCCGAAAGCGCCGGAGTCGCTGTCCGTTTTCATCTGATCTTGGTCAGCCACACCACACCGTCTACTAAACACACTCACAGCTTTCGCAACTATCAAAAAGCAACGTTACAACTGGAGGGGGCAATTCTCCTCCTCCATCCCATCTTGCACATCACCTACTGTGCAGTAATGTCCACAGTCAACAAGCTGAACCACAATTGTCAGACAGTGCCCGTCGCGTCTTGTCTAGCAGACACCTATCTAGCTTCAGTGCTTAGCTTAAGCTCAGTGAGAGGTCCATTGAGCTACCAATTCCTGGCGTCTGCCAGCGAGTCCCAATGCTTCGGCTCAGCATTTCGTCTCTCCTGGTTTAGGTTGCTTCTATCCAAGTGCCACCTGTGGCTGTTGTCTCAGGCTCACAGCGTACCTATAGGCTCTGAGAAGTCTCTATCCTTTCCCTGCTATACGGTACTCTTTCATCGTTGCATGCGCTCATCTCTCATCTACCGGTTAAGCTTAGGTTCCATTCCTCTCATACTCACACTCTCTTGTCTCTCTCACGCATCCTCTCACTCTACCCCCTGCAATCCCCAATAAACCTTCTCAACCAACTACGAGGCAACGCGGGCACTTACCCCTTCCCGCGTCCATCCATCCATCAACACGAGCTTTCGGCCCCCAAGTGAAGGAAGTGGGTTGGAGCATCGAGCCTGGACTGAGCTAGAGCAGATGAACCAGCCCTTAGGATTACCGCGTGTCGCCCCATCGCCTGTGCGACGTTGAAGACAACCTAGAAGACAATCCTCGCTCATTCCCGCTTCTAACCTTGCCCACTCACTCACTACCTTGCCTCTAATCCAAGACACCAAGACACCGACCGGTCTTCTGTTCAGTGACCCATTGGTTGCTGGCCGGTGTCGCCATCGCCCTTCTCTCTCCCGACTACCCCCTCCCCACTTCGTCGTTATTGTTCATCCACTGTCGTTCTTGTTGGATACGACGTCTCTGGGCTTCCACCGCCAACCCGAGCAGTAGAGCGAGGGGAGGGGACCGGCAGGTTCCATTCTCTGTTGTTATTCTGCCCTCCGTGCGGTGCGCCAGTCACCCTCTCGGGTTGTGCCTGTCGATCCGCTACCAGTCCGTCTACCGTTCCGCCGTGGAGTTCGTTCAAACGTTCGATCAGACATCTTTGCAACCCTCCACTACCTTACCTCTCACACTCTTCCTCGTTCTTTCTCACTCTCACTCTTACCATCTCACTCGCTTCACTCCATCTCATCGGCCTGTCTCCGGGGGACATGGCTCGTGCCCGATTCCGTTTATTTACAATCCGATACCTCGTCAGCTAGATGATCCGGCACCCGATTGTGACTTTCTCCGTTTCATAAACAAAAGTCTCTTAATGTCATGCAGCCAATTTCACCTCCTGCCATGGCCACGTTTCCAAAGTCTTTCCTGGCCGCCGTCGTCAAGCAGCTACTCCGGGGCAAATCGTTGATCCAAGCCCTCCTAGCCTTCTGGCTCACGCCACAAACCGTCTCAGGGAAACCGACAACTTCAAAGGTGGATTGTTGCAGCACATCGGGAACAACGACGCCCTCAGGCCAAAGTATCGAGGAATACCTAAAGGAGGCCGAGCACCTCCTCCTGGGGCCCTTGCTGGACAACGATGGCCTTCTCGAGTTATCCAACGCCCTAAAGGCGCAGTTCAGAGACAAGTTGCAGACGAGCATGGCGTGTATGCTCCCTTCGTACAACCACCAGCTCCCCGGCGGGCACGAGGTCGGTCAGTACCTGGCGGTGGACGTGGGGGGATCGACGCTGCGTATCGCGCTGGTCGAGCTGCGGGGTCGTGACGCCGTGGGCCGGGAGAGCGAGATTGTGCGGATGAGTTCGTTCAAGATCGACAACGACATTAGGAGCTTGGAGGGCATGGCCTTCTTCGACTGGATGGCCGAGAGGATATGGGACATGGTGTCACAGGACGGCCAGGACCCTTCACGGCCCATGCCCATGGCCCTGGCATGGAGCTTTCCCATTGAGTAAGTTCAGTCCTTGTTGCTAGGGAACGATTTAATTCAACCGGGCGAGAACTAATCGTCTTCACAAAAGGCAAACATCACTAAAAGGCGGCCGCATCCACGGCATGGGCAAGGGCTTCCTCGCCGCCGAAGGCCTCATGGGCCAAGACCTCGGCGAGGTCATCGAGACCGCCTGCGCAGCTAGGGGCCTGAGAGGCACCCGGCTGCGCGTCATCCTCAACGACGGCGGCGCCACCCTGCTCTCCCAAGCCTACGTCCACCCGGCCACCCGCTTCGGCCTCATCCTCGGCACCGGCGTCAACATCGCCGCCTACCTCCCCGTCTCGCTGATCGGCAAGCCGAAATTCGGGGACCGCCCGCGGGAGTGGTGGAGCGAGGCGCGCGACGTCATCGTCAACACGGAGCTCGGCATGTTTGGCGGCGGGGGCGTCCTCAGCGTCACACGCTGGGACGGGCTGTTGAAGCAGGGGCACCCGAGGCCCGATTTCCAGCCCTTGGAGCAGATGGTGAGCGGGTACTATCTCGGCGAGGTGGTGCGGTTTGCGTTGATTGAGGCGATTCGGACGACGGGGGTATTTGGCGGCGTGGTACCCAAGTCTCTTGATGAGCCGTACTCTTTGAAGTCTGAGACGATATCTACCATTGAAGGGTAAGCTTGACTTCCTCACATCCACCCTTTTTGACGAATATTTTGCTAACCATAATGACAGAGATACGTCACCATCACTCTCATCATCTATCGACCTCTTCATCACCCAACATCCCTCATCTCACACTCCCACACCATCAGACCTCGCCGCCCTCCGCAGCCTAGCCTCCTTCGTCTCAAGGAGGTCAGCCGCCATCATCGCAGCGTGCCTACATGCCGTATGGTCCCTCCGTCTCGAGTCTCTAGCCGAAGAAAAGGAGGCCAACGCAAACCGGACGGCGTCGACGAATCAGGATTCCGCAGAGGGCGAGGACGCGGACCTTCTTCACCAGAGAATAGAAAAGGAAACATCCCTGCCCCGAACGATGGTAGCCTACAACGGCAGCGTCATCGAGTGCTACCCGGGCTATCTGGCAATGTGCCAGTCGTACGTCGACGCGCTGGTCAACAGGGGCGACAGGAGCGTCGAGCTCGTGCCGGCGAAGGAGAGCTCGCTGCTGGGGGCCGGCGTCGCGCTGGCGAGGGCTTGTGATGGGACTGCGTAAAGGGCGTGAGGTTTTCCCTCACTGGGCGTCACATAACCCTCGAGAGTGTGTGGACTGAGAAATGGGAGGATAGAGATGATTTTGCACTTTTGAGTGGCATAATTTCTGACAACATGCATGGCAA